CCAGTGTTAAGCACCTACACATATGCATGGCCATTTGTATGTCTTCTTTGGAAAACTGTCTAATCAGTGACTTTGCCCATTTTTAATTGTTTGGTTTGGTTTCGTTTTTGTTGTTGTTTGGTTGGTAGTTTTGTTTGTTGTTGCTGTTTTGCTGTTGAGTTCCTTATGTATTTTGGATATTAACCCCTTATCAGATATGTGGTTTCCAAACATTTTCTCCATTCCATAGGATGCCTTTGCCTTTTAATTTTGTTGATTTTTTCTTTTAATGTGCAGAAACTTTTTAGTTTGATGTACTGCCACTTATTTATTTTTGCTTTAAGCCATTTCAAGTTAATTTTTGTGTATTTTTGTAATTCTTTTGTTTGTTTTACTGTATAGTATCTTTTGTGTTTGGACAATCACCTGCTGAAGGGAATTGAGTGTATTTCTCTGCAGAGACTCCAACATTGCTAGTAAGTCTCAGCTTGAGTCTCCCTTGTCATTAAGGCATAGACACTGGACATAGAAAAGTGCTTCAGATGTAGCCACCTAGACTTTTTAGCAGAAGCTAATGTTCCAAAAAGAGAGCACCCAGAATCTGTCCTGATGAGGGGGGAGGCTGTGACAGGAACTAGTCTTGATCCCAGAGGCAGCAGTGGTCTCTGCTGTCTAGTGAAACTATCCCATGTTGGAGTTGCTGGCATTGAGGCCATGCTGGGATGTATGTGCCTAGCTGGTGGCTGCCATGAAATACTGATAGGAGACTGCCACGGCATCATCTTTGGTATTCTGGCTGTGCAGGTTCCCAATTCGTTTCTCTGGATCTCCCTAGAATCTCCTCCAGGAGATTCTTTGAGATATTAAAATCCTTTAACACTTAAATTAGCTAATTTGAAATATTTGCTTGTCAGACACCTAATGGATCCCAAGAGAGTGTACAGAGAACAGGCAGTGGCATCTTCATAGGATCAGCTCTGTGGCGTGAGACTAGGCCTTCCTGACTACATCACTTCTGAGTCTTGGTCTCTAATCCTTCTGGATATTTTTGAGCTTTATAGTATTTTTTATTTTTTAATTTTTACTTATTTTTTTTTGAGAGAGAGAGAGAGTGAGAGCACACACGTGTATACAAGCAGGGGGAGGGGAGGAGGGGAAAGAAGGGAGAGAATCTCAAGCAAGGTCCATGCCCAGTGCAGAGCCCAACATGGCACTCCATCTCACGACCATGAGATCATGACCTGAGCCAAAATCAAGAGTCAGACATTTAAATGATGGAGTCACTCAGGCATCTCTATAGTATTCTTTAAATTCATTTCTTTTCTAATTGAATTATATATGGATATTTGCTTAAAGGTGTTAAAAATGCTCAAAGATATAATTATAAATACTTGGGAGCAGAATCACAAAATGACAAATATGTTGCTGATTAAAAGCATATTTTTAAACATTTTTAAATTATTTATGGTTTGGTACTAATTCTATATTTTGGATTAATAGAAAAATTGATCTGGTAAAAACATTTGACATTAACAGACATTTAGGAAAATACTTATTAGGTATTTTACAGTGAAATTTCACATAGTTCAAAAATGATTAATATGTATTCCCATTATTAATGTTTCAGGAAATTTCATCCCTGAAAAATAATTTGGTTAATCCTCTATATATATATATATATATATACAATTTTTATGCAATCATGATAGTTAACAAAGTATCAAAAGATTGCATAGAAATATAATCACATCATCCCATAAAAATCATCTTGGTTCACACTTTTAGTTTTGCAACTTTTATGTAGTTAGCAGTTATATTTTTAAAATTTTATATCATCATATTTAAAATATTGCATTTGTGCTGAGCTTTATCTTATTATTTTTAAAAGAATTTGTGCATAAAATATACAATACTTTTTAGAGTAAAATTAGGAGTTTTTTTCTTTGCCTTTCTGTAGTTCAAATGGTATGATGATAGTTTAAATTTTAATTATCAAATTAACTGTATAATTAATCAATTTTGAAAATCTCTCTAAAATAATATAAAATAAATAAACAGAAATTAAAAATTTAATGGGTGCCCTCTGCTGCATAAATTGAAGTGTGCAATGTCCACATGTCCTTCAACCTTGCTTGCATTGAGTCACAAAATAGTTTTTGGTGAGGCATACTAAAAATGTCCAAGCATCACATTGCCATTAATTAAGTTTTTATGAATTGCCTGTCCTCTGCTTTCTCTGACTAAATTATAACATTTTACATAATAAAAATGCATAATTTTATTTCAGTAAACCATAAATATCAGTAACTATATTTAAGATGCATACTTAAAGAGATAAATAATACTATATTTTAAACATGACTAATTTGCCTTAAATAAGGTAATAGGAATCTATTCATGTTAATATAATTGGGAAAATTATATTATTTTTATTTCACAAGCTGGCTTTGATTACTTAGTATAAGTCTAGATCTAATCTTGATATAATCATATCTTTAGAATTCATCTCTGTTTCACTATAACTAAGATTAAACGTTTAATTAATATGTAGTTTGAAATACTCTTCGTGAACTCTTATAACAACCTTAAAAGAATATTTACCCCAATACTTTAGGTGACATTTTTGAAGATCAATATTTTTTGATAGTAATAATGAATCATTTTTGTGTTAATGTGACTTTTTTTTTTTGCTAATGTTAACATTTGATTTATTAAAATGTAATGTTAAAAACTGACAGTGATCTGAGCATGTATGATTTTGAATTTGTAAACATTAAAATGTAAAATTTTCTCAAATATTCAAGTAAATTTTTATGTTATTCTACTGAAAATTTTTGAGAAAATAATATTTTGATAAATAACTTGGGTATCATTAGCTGGCTGGGTCTGCTTATCTATCAGAATTTTTGGCTGAGGTTGTTAATCTGGAGCTGTAGACATTCATAGGCAGTATTCATAGAACCGAGACTTTTATATTGAGTCCTTTTGTTTGTTAATTTTATATATTTGCTGTTAATCAGGGATTTAAAATTATAGTCTAATTAATGGTGCTCGTGTTTTTGCAACCTGAGTCTTCTGAGGTTAAACTCTAACTAAATCTCACACATTCTCTTCAATTCCATGGCTTGGCTCATGCAAATATAGTTATGTAACTTTTTAATGAGCTGCTTATCCATTCATTGGATTAAACTAATATATTTATGACCTAATTCTACTTTGTTTTCATGGTGTTGCTACCTGGAAGAGTCCTATTTCTCATAATTATGTAAATGGCATTCGATTTTGATTCTAGGTACATCTTTTAGATCCGTGAATATGTTTCTAACATCCTTCTAGTGACATTTTCATGGAACTGGACCCATGTGTGTTCATTGGTTAATTAAAATTACACTAAGGTTGTAACTAACAGCCACAAAATCTCAGTGGTATATGACAACCAGACTTTATTTAGCTGGAGTCTGTGAGCCAGCTAATGGCTGACTGGTATTGACTGGACTCTACGGGGGAGGAGGGCAGACTGGTTATGATCATGGCTCTCACACCCCTACTGGGAGCAGTAAGTCTGCCTTGGTATGCACTTATTGCTGTAGCCAACATATAAGAGGGTAAAACCAATTGTATAAACACTTTTGAAGGCTCAGCCACATGGTGCCCACTAGCATTCCGTTGGTGATTTTATTCACATTTTCTATTTTCTGAAACACTGAAAGTGATGATTTCATTATGTGTTTTCACCACTAAATAACACGTCACTATTTTTCCAGCTGCTTATGTTTTATCACCAGTTTTTCCAGCCTCTGCCTACAATCTAGTCCTGAAGTTAAGTCTACATATTTTTCATTTTGTTTACTGTAGCATTCCCCCCTTTTAATTATCATTTTCTATGTCAGTTATCTTTTGCTGCAGAAAAGAAAACAAAACATACACACATACACACACACACACACACACACTTCAGTGTCATAAAACAACTATTCTTTTTGCTCCTATGGATACGAAAAAGGTGGGGTCAGCTGACCTTCAGTTCACCAGCTGGGCTGGGCTCAGATTCACTTTGTTTTTATTTGGGGACAGCAATTCCTGGGGGAAAACTCTTTTCACAGTGATGACTGAGGCAGAAGAGAGGATGCCCAACCACACAAATTCTTTTCAAACATCTGGGTCTGTCATATCTCCTAATATCCCATTGTCAAAGGCTAGATGCAAGGGTTGGGGAAAACAGTTCTGTCCTTGGGAGTAGAGAAAAGATTGAGAAAAGATGGAGCACTATTTACCACTAATCTAAAGCACCACACAAATGAGGATTGTCCATCTGCAAAGGTCAATATATGCTAATTACAACAGTAGTAAACAATTATTTTCAGTGACTCACTCTGATAGACATATGGGAATACAAAAAATTGATAATTGAGATATCAAAGGACCAGATTTCAATCCTGACTCTGTCGCTTGTTCTACAAATGGAGAAATTAATGTCAATTATTTTAAATAAAGATCCTAGTGAAATTGCTTCATTAAAACAAAATTACAAATATTAAAAAGGATTTTTATGTCCCCAGTAAATAATTGATTTCTGAAATAATTATGTAGACTCCTTGTCATTCTCTGTCATATCAAAGGATTCTTTACTCATGTATAGTCACACTATGAAGCTGCATGAAAGCCATGTTAAAATTAGAAATACATGTAGATATCCTCCTATATAAGGAAATTATGTGAATGAGATAATGAGAGAAATGCATGAATAATATAGGAGAAGGCAGGCAGAAAGTCAAATATTTTGATATAAGCAAAGCCAAATTAAATATGTTTAACCTATTCTAATGCTAATTGACAGAACAAAAAATTGAATCAAGTTTTTTTCAATATTTGTAATTGTTAATAAACCAGAAAAGTTTTCCTGTGATTACAATGGTCATATACAAATATAAAAATAACAAAAATAGGAAATAAAAAATTGAATGTGTTCCTAAACTTGTTTTGAAATTGTAAGTCTATTTTGCTTTTAATTCTTTATTTAGGAAGCGCTCCTCTTTGGAAAGAGAAATAGAACGACTGGAGTCAGCATTGTCTGTATGGAAATGGAAATATGAAGAACTGAAAGGATCAGAAACAAAATGTCTGAAAGAGGTATGGAGACATACAGTGTAGAGGAAGAAATGAAACTGCCAATTTTCTGTTAAGATGAGTACACTAGTGGGCAGAAAGCTCCTCAGATAAGAGGGAAGGTTTAAAAATTGAATTTCCTCCATGAGAGGGATATTTGAACTTATATGCCCATGTGAACTCAGTCAAACTCAGCCCATAAGAAATATTGTTCTAAACAGATGAACATATGGGAAAGAAAAAAAGAGAGAGGGAAGCAAAAACAATAAGAGACTCTTAACTATAGTGAAAACTGAGGGCTGATGGAGGGAGGAGGGTGGGGGATGGGCTAGATGGGGGATGGGTATTAAGGAGGGCACTTGTGATGAGAACTGGGTACTATATGTAACTAATGAATCACTAAATTTGACTCCTGGAACCAATATTACCCTATATGTTAACAAACTAGAATTTAAACAAAAATTTGGGGGGAAAAAGAAATCTTGTTCTAAATAACACATATTTTCAATATCAACATGACACAATTAACTATCCATTCCAGGCACATGTGAGGGGACTCTGCTAAAGAAGCCATTATATCACAGCACTTATAATAAACAATATTATCTTGTTCTTTTATGAAGCAGCTTGAAGATATCAATTTATCTCAAGTGCATTTAGGTTCTTTTCCTATTGACTTCATAGTTATTCAGGATCAGCCGACTTGCCTTTGTACTTTGCCTTTGCATTTTCATCAATAAAATACTGTCATAAACCTTTCCCATTTCAGTGATTTATTAATATTCATAGTTTAAACTATATTAATTGTACATCTTCTGTGTACTAAAGCATTGTTCCAGGTAAGTGGAATAGAATAATGAGCAAAGAAAAGAAGGACAGTATAATGGCAAGTCAAATTCTTCAAATGAGTAAACATTTAGTAGGGTGTGTGTGTTTACATGCATATTAATAATAGTTATGTATTATACATCATATATTATAACGTATACACACACACACACCATATGTATGCTGAACAGGTGTCTTGAAGAAGCTATCTAAATCAATTATGTAATTGTGCCTTAATCAAAAGCACTGTTCCATCAGTTATTAAAAAAAAAGTGGTAAGCAATGTTTCTCTTTGTTGTAAAATCTGATATGAATGTTGCTTCAGATTTGTTTCTAGCAAGTTGTAAAGTTTAGAGTCATTAGCTTCAGCTAAAATTGCATGAGGAGCTTCAGCTAACAGTGGACGCCTGATTTCTGAGTCATATGCAGTCTTCCCGACCTCCACGGAGCATCGTCATGATGCCCTGGGTCCGAAACGGTCAGCTATGTTAACACAGTGGACCACTGAGATTTAAAGGAGGGAGAGCTTTTCATAATACTATTAGGCAAATACTCCCTGCTTAAAAACCTTTATTAATAAAAGGTAATTTCAGTGAGAGCCTCAGTGCAGGGTAAGTGAAGCCATTAAAGCTAACAAGTTACATAAAATTTTCCTCTTCTGGGGCGCCTGGGTGGCTCAGTCTGTTAAGCGTCCAACTTCGGCTCAGGTCATGATCTCAGGGTTGGTGAGTTCAAGCCTGGTGTCGGGCTCTATGCTGACAGCCAGCTCAGAGCCTGGAGCCTGTTTCCGATTCTGTATCTCCCTCTCTCTCTGACCCTCCCCTGCTCACGCTGTCTCCCTCTCTCTCTCTCTCTCTCTCTCTCAGAAATAAATATAAAATATTAAAAAAAAATTTCCCTCTCCTTCATAGATCCATGTTAGAATGTCCAAGTGACTTTGTTTCTGGCTCAAACTTTAGATACATAAACAGTGTATGTGTGTGTATATACACATGCTTTTTTATATGGATTCATAGTATTTATCTTCAGATACCTCACTGAACATAATGTCTTGAGGTATGAACATTGACAGTAAATTAATGTTATGCAGGAAAAATAGTCCACAACACAAAAATCATGTTATGTTTAGAGTGTATACGTATTTGCCTTTTATAATATAATGGGTTCTAAATTTGATTGAGAAGACTAATATTGAAGATAGAATTGGTTCTAAATTTAATTTTAAAAGAAACATGCGTTAACTATCTCTTGCCACTAGTGGGTGATGCAGACTTGATAACGTTAGTTTCCTAATGCTTTTTATTCACATAGTTTAACATGTATGTGCAATGTTTGTGAGAGAAAGTCATGGTTTTGAGTTGGTTTACAAAGTGGTATGTATATTTTAAACTGTTTAATGTTTTATCATCAAAGGTGATATTTTTTACATTAAGTCGGACCATGTCTGCTTTAAATTAACAAAACTTTATGGATGAGAAAAAATAAAACCAATGTTGCAATTTACAGTGTAAAATGGATCTACATTTTCATACCCATGCAGAAATATATATTAGTCCATATGTGATCCTTTTACTAGATAAAATTATAGGGTTTTGGAACAGAGGAAACCTCAAGATTGTTGTGAGAAGCTTGCTCAACTATTTGAACTTTGAGTGTGTGCTTCAGTTCAGTGAACTACAAATTTGAACACTGAATGGAAGTAACAATGAATACAAAAAGAGTTTTACTTTAGATGATGGAGAGTTAATTTAAACAGAAATAAAGGAAAAAACATTGTTTGAATTATTTATATGAGATTATATTTTAAAATGCCTCTTTCCACTCCCTAAAAAGGAATTTGTGATATTCTTAAAGCCTTTTTGAAAAGATATTGTATGCACATAAGTTGAAATTATTTTATAAAATATTGTGGCATACTTAAAAATATTTAAAAACTGAATAAATAAAAGCGCTTTGTCACATGTAATTTTTATGTGCCCTTTGTTTAACTGTTTTATAATAGATCATAACAGAAGAAGAATTTGACAGCACATTTGGAAATGGCATTGTAGAGTAATTATAAGTGTAAAATATTCAATGTTTCTATACAGTTGATTGACAATCAGGAATCATGCCATGATGCATCTGTTGGAACCTCATATGAATTCTCTTTTCTTACTCTGCCTCTCAAAAATGATGATAAATGACTTTCCCTTTCTCGGTACCTCTTCATCTATAAAAAATTCTCAATATGAGTATAATTCTGTTTTTATGCCCAAAACTTACAAGCAAATACATACGTGGCCAAGAACTGCTGATGGAAAGATTAGCAATTTTTAGAGCTGGAAACAGATGTGCTTAATAGACCAGGTTTTTAAAAATGTATTTTAAAAACTGGCATCTTTAGAGAGAAACCATTCTTAAGTCACTGACATTTAGAGAAGAGTAAATATAAGAATTTAATTGTAAAATCTATTAAGTATTTAAAATGCAACCAAAACAATGAGTAGTAGAGATGATTATATTCCAATTGCTATTCCTGTACTGAATTTAATACTTAATTCAGCTTTTCCTTTGCAGGTCTGTAAGTATTGATTTGAAATGACATTATGAATTGCAGGTTTTCTGAGATGATCATGTTCATGAAATCTCATGATCTAGAGAATCAAATATTCATGGAAGTAATATTGATTATAAATAGTTATGGCATCTTTGCTTTAACATTAAATGACTCTGTTTCTTTCCATAATGGAAGATATATTTTACTATATGTGGAAAATACTAATAACATTTAAAAATTGATCTCAAACTGGGGCGACTGGGTGGCTTAGTCGGTTAAGCGTCCGACTTTTGCTTAGGTCATGATCTCGCGGTTCGTGGGTTCAAGCCCCGCGTCGGGCTCTGTGCTGACGGCCAGCTCAGAGCCTGGAGCCTGTTTCAGTCTGTGACCCCCTCTCTCTCTGACCCTCCCTTGTTCACGCTGTCTCTCTCTCTCTCTCTCCTAGAAATAAACAAAACATTAAAAAAATTTGATCTCAAACTGAAAAAAAGGAAATGTCATCTGGCCTTGAAAATTTTATGCTCTTACCGGTATCTTTTTAAGGATTTTATTGAGAAATTTTCTTTATTTTTGTGATAATAATGATGTTTCAAGTAGTTTATAATTTATAGTTTTCTTTTATAAATATTTACATTAGATATTTATAGAGACAGGCTTCAAGGGGAGTCTTTATGGCAGTAAGAGCTGACAATAATGTCTTCTCTCAAAAACCTCAAAATACCTTTCTGATTGGGGGAAAATTGAAGGTTAGAATTAGAATCATATGTAGCTAAAATTCTATGCTAATACTTTCAATTTCTTTCCAAAATTCATTTTTAAAATTCTTCTTTCTTTTTATTTATTTTTTAATTGAAGTTTGATTGAAGATACCCTCACTTTTTGAAAGATTACATCAATGGACACAGGTTGTTTCCAGATCTTGGCTATTGTAGATAATGCTGCAGTAGATGTGAGAATGTATATATTTTTGCTAATTAGTAATCTCTATTTTGGAGGCAAATGCCCAGTAGTATAATTATTGTATCATATGGTATTTTTATTTTTAATATGCGGAGGGACCTCCATATTTTTCACAGTGGCTGTACCAAATTGTATTCCCACCAACAATGCACCGGGTTCCCTTTTCTCTGCATCCTTGCCAACACTTGTTATTTCTGTGTTAATTTCTGCCATTCTGACAGGTGTGAGCTGATATCTCATTGTGATTATGATTTGCATTTCCCTGATGAGGAGTGATGTTGTGCCTGTTGGCCATCTATATGTCTTCTTTGGAAAAATGTCTCTTCATGTCTTCTGCCCATTTTTAATTGGATTATTTATTTTTGGGGGTGTTGAGTTGTATAAGTTCTTTATACATTTTGGATACTAATTCTTTTTAAAATTTTTTTATAGTTGATTTATTTTTGAGACAGAGAGAGACAGAGCACGAGTGGGGGAGGGGCAGAGAGAGAGAGGGAGATACAGAATCCAAAACAGGCTCCAGGCTCTGAGCTGTCAGCAAAGAGCCCGACACGGGGCTTGAACCCATAAACTGTGAGATCATGACCTGACCTGCAGTCGGACACTCAACCGACTGAGCCACCCAGGCACCCCTTGGAGACTAATTCTTTATTGGATATGTCATGTGCAAATATCTTCTCCCATTCAGGACATTATC